CCCCAAAACCCCAAAACCCCAAAACCCCTGGGTGGAGTATTAAAAATGAATGTTAAAGTAAAATGAGGTAAATCAAATATAATTAAAGGATTATAATGAAAATTAATTAACTTAATGATAGTATTAAGATAATTGCAGCATTATAAAATTCTTTGGATAATGAAATAATATTCTCTTATCAAAGATGACGATGCTAATCTGAATAATAATGATATCAATGTAACAACTTCAAATAACATGGGAGTAAGTTTTACTGAAAGCGGAATTGGAACTAATGTGTTTGGAAGCATGAAACTTATACTCGGTGCATCAATACCAAACAGAATGAATAATACCACTTTCGTTAAATAAAAGGTGAAGTTTTTCAAGGTTAACTGGGGATTTTTATGCTTTTATATATTCATAGCTAGTCTTGGAGTATTTCAACTTGGTATTGTTCTAGCTGCTAACAACTAAGTATCTACAGTGTTCGATATTTAATTCGGATTGAAAGATTAGAGTCAAAAGAACTTTTATCATACTATGATAGGCTCATCTTGTGTATTTGGTGCTGTTCTTGGATCTTTGATAGGTGGAAAGGTAATTACTGTCTTAGGTAGGAGAAGAAGCACAATTTTTTTTAATTTATTCGCTGCTGTATCAATAGGAATTACTATGATTGAAAATTTCTATACACTATGCTTGGGAAGATTGCTCTTTGGAATATGTGGAGGTATTTTTTAAGTTGTTTTGCCTAAATAAATTGAAGAGACTGTCCCTAATCATCTTTATGGATCCTTTGGAGTCGTTTCAGCATTGACAATAAATGGAGGAGAGATGCTTGGAATAGTTATGGGATTGGGACTTCCTGATTCATAAGATGAAGAGGCAATGTCAAAGACTACATTCTGGAGGTACATATTTGGATCTCCTTGGGTATTCCAAGTCATAACGTTAGTTTCTTACTTTTTCATACTTAAGCATGACACAATTAAGTATTTAATTGACAATAATAAAGATGCTGAGGCACTCTAGATGGTAAAGAAAGTTTATCATAAGTCGGAGGATCATCAATACATTCTTGATTATATAAAAATGACTAGCTCCTTAGGAAAAGGTAATAGAATTTCATTAAAAGATGCTCTTACAAACAAGCTATATTGGAGAGCAACTTGGTTTTGCTTTACTTTTGCATTAATAAGTCAATTCTCAGGGGTAAATGGGATAATCTGGTACTCAGGTACGATTCTATAAAGATTATAAAATTAAGGAGGATCAGGCACAATATCACCTAAGTTAGGTTCAGTTCTGATTGGAGTAGTTAATTTCATTGGAACTGTAGTAGCAGTAATTCCACTAAGATACTTTGGAAGAAAAACGTTAGTTTTAGTAGGGCATTTACTAATGGGAACATTTATGGTACTAGTTGGAGTATTTGCTTATTTAGAGTATAGTAATTTGATGCTTACAATGATTTTGCTATTTTTAATTGTATTTCAGTCAACTGATGGCCCTATATTGTAACTCTATGGATCCGAGGTAACAGTTGATTAAGGATTAGGCTTTTGTGTATTCGGAATTAAAAGTTCAGGTCTAATTGTATCCTTAACAACTGAATATCTAATGGATAGTCCCTTACACCCATACGGGGCATTTTGGTTATATGGAGGAATTATATGGATAAGTTTTATATTTTTCTGGATATTTATGAAGGAAACTAAAGGTTTAACAGATAGGTAAAAGAAGTCAATTTTTAGAAAAGATTATGATCCACTTGATTATAATAATTAGACACCCTGATTGTAATATTTAGTTCATGGTTTTATTAAAGATTCTTTTCTATTTTTAATGAATTTCATTTTATATTTGCATTAAATTTTAATTCATGTTTTGTGGTTTGGGGTTTTGGGGTTTTGGGG